TGCTAATTTAATTTTGGTGGAATATATGCATATAGTAGACATCCTTCAGTCTTTTCAGACTATGGAGTTGCGCTCTGGTTGTCAATCTCTCCAGGGTGCAAAGCCTGGGTAGGTAGATATGGAGGAAAAGCTGTTACCCATGCAGCAGGTCCCCCCTCTCAACATTGCTGGAATTATCCAATGGAAAGGCAAATGCCAATACACATGGTTCCAGCACCGTCACAGGAGCGGCCAGAACGAGGTCGAAGTCAACAACGAACTGCCTTAGGGGCTCCAACTGATTTTTCCTCGAGGTTGACTCCTGAAGCCTTTCCCAAAAGAGGGGTATGGCCTCAAGGCAGCGGAGGTTTGAAATCAGGGTTTTCCTTCCCCTAGATGGGCTGCCTTCCCAGGCTATCGAGTCCCATCTACCCGGAGCAGCTGGTTTTAAGGCGCCAGAGGCACACCCTCGCCCCTTCTCCTGTCAGTAAAAGCACTTCCGCCGGACTTAAAGACTAAGCCACCCGTTCAGGCCAGGAGTTGGACTTGGCTGTAAGAGGCTATTTGAGACACACGCGTACGGGAGTTATTTATAGGTTTATTTATTTATTTATTTATTTATTTATTAGTATATTTTGGTAGCAGTCTTTCCTGTAGACATATACTATTAAATATGACCAAAAAAGTAAGATTAATAATTCTAACACGAATTTTCTCTATGTTTCTTATATTTCTTTTCACTGTTGATGGTAACTGAAAAATCAATTCTCCAAAATTCATTTTTATTTCTAGTCTGACGCGTTTCGTAAAACTTATTACATTTTCAAAGACTTTAGTTTACACACACACAACTATAACTGAACAGAGTTCAAACAGCTTCGATTTTATACCTGCATTTGGGTGAGGTGATATGTTACAACAGTTTTGGATGAGGTGAAAACAAACTTTCAACACAAGACAGAACACGAAACAATGGGTATAATATTTTGTAAGTTAAAGGGAAGAATGGAAGTAACTGCAAAGGGCCTATTGGCCCATATTTCTTGATGCTTCTATATTGGTGCGTTTATTTATTTATTTATATATATACAAGAAGGTACATTGGGATTGTGAGGATACATAGCATAGTAATTACATTCTTGTAAAGCCACTAGTACGCGCAGCGTTTCGGGCAGGTCCTTAATCTAAGAAACTTATAAGTAGGTAAATACTTGCAAAATTTATAAAAATGATAACAGTTACATAGCATGAAAAAAATAAAAGATGAGAGAAAAATTGTAGGTATATTAAAGCACATAGGTAGCTCAGAATGATTGCAATGACAGCTTGAATGGTAGTTTAACAAAACTTAGCAGGCACAATACAGCATATGGCTAGCACATAAAAGAAGACAGCAATGAACACAATGATAAAGTTGTTTGGATTAAGTACATAAAGATTGGGAGATTGGGTAACACTAGATACAGAGCAAATTTAAAGCTCAGTGTAGGAAACTACGAAGATGAAATTAGGTACTTTTTGTTTTTGTTTTTAAATGAGGCAAAAGTTTGACAGCTTTTCAATTCACTAGGGAGTGAGTTCCATAGACTAGGTCCCATAATTTGTATAGAGTGTTTACACAGATTAAGTTTGACCCTGGGGATATCAAAGAGATATTTATTTCTGGTGTCATGATAATGGGTACTATTACATCTGTCCAGGGAGAGTTTCAGAGCATGGTTTGCATTTAAGAACAGGGTTTTGTAAATGTAGTTGACACATGAGAATGTGTGGAGGGAGTTAATATTTAGCAAGTTAAGGGAGCTGAGTGTTGTCTGAAAGCAGAGTTTGTTATTATTCTGATAGTAGATTTTTGCTGGGTGATGATGGGCTTAAGGTGGTTTGCAGTGGTAGACCCCCATGCACAGATACCATAATTAAGATAGGGATAGATTAGTGCATAATATAGTGAGAGGAGAGCAGAGTTAGGAACATAATATTTTATTTTGGAGAGTATTCCAACTGTTTTAGAGACTTTCTTAGTTATGTGTTGAATGTGGGTGCTGAAGTTGAGTCTCTTGTCTAGGAATAGGCCAAAAAACTTTGCATCATTTTTATTACTGATGTTAATGTTGTCTATCTGTAGCTGAATTGCATTCCATGATTTGCTTCCAAATAAGATGTAGTAGGTCTTTTCTATGTTTAGTGTTAGTTTGTTAGTTGACATCCATAAGTGGACTTTTTTTAATTCATTATTCACAACATTATTTAGTGTATGTAGGTTGGGGTCTGAATAGATGAGGGTAGTATCATCAGCAAACAATATAGTTTTCAGAATATTAGAGACATTAGGCAGATCATTGGTATATATAAGAAATAGAAGAGGTCCTAAGATGCTGCCCTGTGGCTCTCCAATGGTTATTGGTAGAGTGGAAGAGTTGTATCATTGATGGTTACACATTGGTGTCTGTCACTAAGATAGGATCGGATATAGTCCAGGGCAAGGCCTCGGATTCCATAATGCTGGAGTTTAAGTAAAAGGTAGTTGTGATTAACAGTATCAAAGGCTTTTCTTAGGTCAATGAAGAGTCCAATCGTAAACTCATTTTTGTCAAGGGCTGAGTAGATTACGTCAAGGAGACTAATGATTGCATCATTGGTGCTCTTTTGGGACCGGAAGCCAAACTGGCAGGGGCTGAGTATGTCGAATTTTACGAGGTAGGAATAGAGCTGTTTGTAGATAATTTTTTCAAATATTTTTGATAGAATGGGTAGATTTGATATTGGTCTATAGTTGTTTATGTCCGCCGGATTGCCTCCTTTATGGACTGGCGTAACTCTTGCTTTTTTAAGGATATCAGGGAAGGTGTGACACTCTATAGATTTGTTGAACAGTAGAGCTATGGGTGGCGCAAGGGCATGGGAGGCGCTCTTGTATACAATGGACGGAATTTCACTGGTGTTCCCTGCCTTGGTTTTTAGAGAGTGTATGATGGACACAACATCTGTCGGGCTGACTGGTGAAAGGAGAAGAGAGTTTGGATAGCTGCCTGAGAGATATGTGTTAATATGTGTCTGAGTCTGTGGGATTTTTCTGGCAAGATTAGCACCAACCGATGAAAAGAAGCTATTAAATTCATTTGCCATTTCTAAATCAGTTGACGGTGTATACCCATCCTTATAGAGTTTTATTTGGTTATGTGAGTGTTGTTTAGTTCCTAGGATACTAGAAATGGTTTTCCATGTGCTTTTCATGTTGCCTTTTGCTTCATTGAATCTATTCACATAATATGAAAGTTTTCCCTTTCTAATGATACTGGTAAGCATTGATGAGTACCTTTTAACTACTTCCTTTGTAACTAGGCCAATCCTGAGTTTCTTTTCATATTCATGTTTCTTGTTGATTGAGTTGAGAATGCCACTTGTGAGCCATGGATTGTTTAATCTTTTGTCAGTTACTTGCTTGGTAAGAAGGGCGCAATGAAGGTTGTAGAGGCTTAGAGATGTGGAAAGGAAGAGGTTAGCTAATGAATTTATATCCTGAGAATTATTGAATTCAGAATCCCAGTTAATATTGTGAAGTGCATTAGAGAGATTGCCTAAAGCTGATTCACTGTGTAACCTGAATGTAAGTTTTTTGCTTTTTGGTGGTGTTATGTCCATGTTCGCTATGAGAAAAGTAGGTCAGTTGTTCTGTCGTAGATTATACCAGATACAAGGGGAGCTGTTTTGTTAGTCCATATGTGATCCAAGGTAGTGGCTGTTGTTTGAGTGACTCCGGTATTTTTAGTGATTGTGGGGATTAGCATGCAGGAGTTCATGCTGTTAAGGAAATAGTCAACTTGAGAGCAATTTTGTTGACCCAGGTCAATATTGAAGTCTCCTCCCAGAATGATGTGGTTTTTGTTGAGATTGTTGTTTATAATAAGATTCCTTAGGTTATCTGAGAATGAACCTATGTTAGTATTCGGAAATCTACAGATGGCTAAAATAGTCAAGGAGGATTTAAGGGATTTAATTGTAAACTGAGCAAAAGTATATTCACAGTAGTCATCTCTATCACTAATGACACTGTTGCAGATAAATGTATCTCGGTAATATATAGCTGTGCCGCCACCTTTTTTATTAGGCCTACAGTTGTGAATGGCTTTATAACCAGCTAAGTTGTAGAGTTGGGTATAGTCTTTATTTAGCCAAGTTTCTGTTAAAATAATGAACGATAAGTTAGTACCTAGTGCTGTGAGTAATGCATTTATATCGTCAAAATGTTTACCAAGTGATCTAACATTTTGGTTGTAAACTGATAAGCAGGTGCTATTTTGGAGTTATTTTTTTGCCTGGTGTGCTGTGTAATACTTGCAATAATGATGATCAATGTGCTGTTTGGTATAGATATGAGACAAGATTTAGATCAGGATCAATATCAGTGTGCATGGAAATGCAGAGGGATCACGATACAATAAGACAAGCAATTACAGAAACAGATAAATACTAAAGCTGCTGTAAAAACAAAGTAATTATAGCAAAACACAAGAATATTAGCAAATACACATAAAATAGTAACAAATTGGAAGAAAAATAAAGATCCAATAGATAGCCAGGAAGGACACAGAAGTTAGATAAAAGAAGAAAAACAACAAATCAGTGAAGACTGACAATATAAATGTAAAATTAAAAATAATAATCATAAAGTAAAACGATCTTAAAGATAATTAGCTTAGTAATGGTTAGATAAAATCCTATGGGAGGTAATGGGAGCTCGTCCCCCATTTCCACCCCCTGGCTATGACAACCCCTTGGAACCAATATATGCATATATATATTTATATATATTATATATATGCATCTGTAACCGTTTCTACTACTACCCACAGCATGGGTACAGGGTGCAAAATAAATGATCTAATTCAATCTTGACTGTATTTGCAGGTTAATGTTGCTCTTGACTGTATTTATAGGTTATTGTTTCTCTTGACTGTGTATGCAGGTTAATGTTATCTTGACTGTGTATCCACATTAATGTTTCTCTTGCCTGTATGCAGGATGAGCTGGGCTTGGAGCGTCTTCTGAGGGACGGCAAAGCTGGCTGGGTCATGGGACCTTCCAACGAGGTGCTCAGACAGTATATTGGCAAGGGTGTACTCTTGGGGCCAGAGTCCTTTGATTTTTGGTTAGTGTGAATTATTTTTTCTTAAATGAGACATGCCTGCAGTGTGATATTACTGCTTTCTATAGTGTGGTTTTTGGTTTTATTTTATTTGCAATATTACTATGTAATAATAACTGTTATGTTAAGCAGCATATGGGAGGGTGGAGGGTGGTTTCTTTTTGGTTGGGGGGATAAAGTAGATGGAGTTACAGATGATGGAATAAGCCTAGAAATGGAAAATATAGTATGAGTTACAATAGCCGGCAGGTTGTCCGCCTTGCTAACATAATATGTATGTGTGTGTTTGGCAGCTATGCTAAACTTGTTTTCTTTAGCAGTTAGTTGCATGTGTTTGTAAGCTTCCCAACATGTATTTCAACATAAATGGACGTCAATAAATGAATACTTCTCATACATACATACACTGCTCTGTATTTCAGTTTGGAAAAGACTTGTGGAACTTGGTTTCCATCGAGTAGATCCAAGCACTTAGGCCACCATCTGTGGGAGTGGGGAGTCTCATCTTGGGCCACCATCTGTGGGAGTGGGGAGTCTCATCTTGGGCCACAATCTGTGGGAGTGGGGAGTCTCATCTTGGACCACAAACTGTGGGAGTGGGGAGTCTCATCTTGGGCCACAAACTGTGGGAGTGGGGAGTCTCATCTTGGACCACAAACTGTGGGAGTGGGGAGTCTCATCTTGGGCCACAAACTGTGGGAGTGGGGAGTCTCATCTTGGACCACAAACTGTGGGAGTGGGGCGTCTCAACTTGGGCCACAATCTGTGGGAGTGGGGAGTCTCATCTTGGGCCACAAACTGTGGGAGTGGAGAGTCTCGTCTTGGGCGACAATCTGTGGGAGTGGGGAGTCTCATCTTGGGCCACAAACTGTGGGAGTGGGGAGTCTCGTCTTGGGCCACAATCTGTGGGAGTGGGGAGTCTCATCTTGGGCCACAAACTGTGGGAGTGGGGAGTCTCATCTTGGGCCACAAACTGTGGGAGTGGGGAGTCTCATCTTGAACCACAAACTGTGGGAGTGGGGAGACTCATCTTGGGCCACAAACTGTGGGAGTGGGGAGTCTCTTCTTGGGCCACAATCTGTGGGAGTGGGGAGTCTCATCTTGGGCCACAAACTGTGGGAGTGGGGAGTCTCGTCTTGGGCCACAATCTGTGGGAGTGGGGAGTCTCATCTTGGGCCACAAACTGTGGGAGTGGGGAGTCTCATCTTGGGCCACAAACTGTGGGAGTGGGGAGTCTCATCTTGGACCACAAACTGTGGGAGTGGGGAGTCTCATCTTGGGCCACAAACTGTGGGAGTGGGGAGTCTCGTCTAGGGCCACAATCTGTGGGAGTGGGGAGTCTCATCTTGGGCCACAAACTGTGGGAGTGGGGAGTCTCGTCTTGGGACACAATCTGTGGGAGTGGGGAGTCTCATCTTGGGCCACAAACTGTGGGAGTGGGGAGTCTCATCTTGGGCCACAAACTGTGGGAGTGGGGAGTCATATCTTGGACCACAAACTGTGGGAGTGGGGAGTCTCATCTTGGGCCACAAACTGTGGGAGTGGGGAGTCTCGTCTTGGGCCACAATCTGTGGGAGTGGGGAGTCTCATCTTGGGCCACAAACTGTGGGAGTGGGGAGTCTCGTCTTGGGCCACAATCTGTGGGAGTGGGGAGTCTCATCTTGGGCCACAAACTGTGGGAGTGAGGAGTCTCATCTTGGGCCACAAACTGTGGGAGTGGGGAGTCTCATCTTGGACCACAAACTGTGGGAGTGGGGAGTCTCATCTTGGGCCACAAACTGTGGGAGTGGGGAGTCTCGTCTTGGGCCACAATCTGTGGGAGTGGGGAGTCTCATCTTGGGCCACAAACTGTGGGAGTGAGCAGTCTCATCTTGGGCCACAAACTGTGGGAGTGGGGAGTCTCATCTTGGACCACAAACTGTGGGAGTGGGGCATCTCAACTTGGGCCACAATCTGTGGGAGTGGGGAGTCTCATCTTGGGCCACAAACTGTGGGAGTTGGGAGTCTCGTCTTGGGCCACAATCTGTGGGAGTGGGGAGTCTCATCTTGGGCCACAAACTGTGGGAGTGAGGAGTCTCATCTTGGGCCACAAACTGTGGGAGTGGGGAGTCTCATCTTGGACCACAAACTGTGGGAGTGGGGCGTCTCAACTTGGGCCACAATCTGTGGAAGTGGGGAGTCTCATCTTGGGCCACAAACTGTGGGAGTTGGGAGTCTCGTCTTGGGCCACAATCTGTGGGAGTGGGGAGTCTCATCTTGGGCCACAAACTGTGGGAGTGGGGAGTCTCATCTTGGGCCACAAACTGTGGGAGTGGGGAGTCTCGTCTTGGGCCACAATCTGTGGGAGTGGGGAGTCTCATCTTGGGCCACCAACTGTGGGAGTGGGGAGTCTCATCTTGGGCCACAAACTGTGGGAGTGGGGAGTCTCATCTTGGGCCACAATCTGTGGGAGTGGGGAGTCTCATCTTGGGCCACAAACTGTGGGAGTGGGGAGTCTCATCTTGGGCCACAATCTGTGGGAGTGGGGAGTCTCATCTTGGGCCACCATCTGTGGGAGTGGGGAGTCTCATCTTGGGCCACAATCTGTGGGAGTGGGGAGTCTCATCTTGGGCCACAATCTGTGGGAGTGGGGAGTCTCATCTTGGGCCACAATCTGTGGGAGTGGGGAGTCTCATCTTGGGCCACAATCTGTGGGAGTGGGGAGTCTCATCTTGGGCCATCATCTGTGGGAGTGGGGAGTCTCATCTTGGGCCACAATCTGTGGGAGTGGGGAGTCTCATCTTGGGCCACAATCTGTGGGAGTGGGGAGTCTCATCTTGGGCCACAATCTGTGGGAGTGGGGAGTCTCATCTTGGGCCACAAACTGTGGGAGTGGGGAGTCTCATCTTGGGCCACAAACTGTGGGAGTGGGGAGTCTCATCTTGGGCCACAATCTGTGGGAGTGGGGCGGCTCATCTTGGGCCACCATTTGTGGGTGCGGGGCGTCTCATCTCGGAGAAATCTTTCTAGCATTGGGTCCTCTAACATTTCGATGGTGTTCCACACCCTGGAGGCTAGGTGCTGTAGTGTGATGTTTAGTGGTTGTGTATTCAAGAGTTCATGGAGCTCCTGGATTGTCTGATAATATGGTGGAGAGTATTTTGCAGCTTTACTTAACGCCTTGTTTACCACAGCTTAAAATTTTTGTATGGTGGTATTTCTTTAGAGCATGTAGTGGTAGTGGACGTGGAGGGTATTCGAGATGCGGTCGGACTAACGACTTGTGTAAGTGTAGTTGTATTTTCGTGCAGAGTCAATGGAATCTCAATTTTCCTAAGGATGTTTTGCTTTGTTTATTGTCTCCTTTGCGTGAAATTGTATTCCTACTCACTTAATCTTGAGTCCCCAGTATTCTGTCCCCATCCGTAAGTAGGACAGGGTGGCTGTCATGGATAATGGCCTCTGGTTTTCTTTTTGCAAAATGTATTATGAGAAACATTTGTTTGTTGGAATTTATTTTATTTTTTTCAGAGAAGTTTATGAATTGACTTGCTGCAATGAATTTGATTTAGATTTGGTTGGCAGATTATTAAAGTTACGTCATCTGTATATGAAATGTACATATTCTCCATGCTGGGGAGGGGAGGGGGGGGGGCATGTCAGCTGTACATATATTGAAAACCATTGGTGATAAGCAGTTTCTTTGTGATATTTTACTTTTTTCAATTCGAGTGTATAACCCAAGTGGCTTTTGATCATGAACTTAAGTGTTGTGTTGTCTATGAAGCTGCGTGAAGTGTAACAGTGAATCTCTGATGTCCAAATCACACTTCAGAAAGGAAAGAAACGCCGACGTTTCGGTCCGTCGTGGACCATTATCATGTCGTGTAACAGAGAGGAAGTTGTTGTTGTTGTTGTTTTAGATTCAGCTATTCGGAACAAAAAGGTCCAAGTAGCACGGTCTATGGTGAGCCCGTTGTGGACTTACCTGGCACAGGCGCGGGACTATAACTGGTCTAGAAGAGAAGAAGGTATAGGGAAATATATAAGGTAATTGAGTGAGAAAAGAGGTGAGGAGCAGGTAAGAGAAAGGTAAGAATAAGGTAAGAGTAGAATGAATGTAAGAATAAGGTATGAGTAGGATGAATGTAAGAATAGGGTAAGAATAGGGTAATGTAAGAATAAGAGGAAAGTAAGAATAAGAGAAAAGTAAGAATAAGAGGAAAGTAAGAATAAAAAAAAGTACATTTAAGTATGTACTGTAAAAATGCTCTAACCTTCTTAACAAACACGATCTGACTTAAGCTTGGCCCCTGTTTCTTATTCCTACCAAAAGATATTCAAAATAAATAAATTAATGCAATATAGATAACAAAAGCTATTCAAAATATACAAATTAATGCACTATGTTGACATATACGGAAAGTTCAACCATTCGAAATGCATTATCAAGTACAAATCTTGAGATAAATATATATTTTAATAAAAATATGACTTCCCGCCGCTATAGGGAGCAGCATCCCAACGAGCGGGTCATTCACCATGAACTGAAGAAGATGAGTCTGGAAGAGAAGAGAAAGTTGGCCAAGAGTCTCCTGGAAGATGTGGAAGCCGAGGTGAAGGGGACGAAGGACAAACATGCCTTCCAGGAAACTGACTTTGAGAACCCATTCAATACGTGTCCTCCTGCAGTTAATGACACGGTCAGAACACCTGCATGTGTTCCTCTGTGACGAGAAAATGTTGAAGCCGTAAGATGGGATAGAACCCACGTACCTGAATTGGGCATGCGCACACTATACCATCCCGGTTTGTAGTGTTTGTAACTGAGGAGTTCATGTCCAGGATTCATCAAACATTTTTGCATCCGCTTACGAAACCTGTACATCTTTCCTTGATCATAACGGCTTTGTATATATATATTAATGTATACAAAGCCCTATAAAACGCTTTGAAACGTCACAACCCAAGGCTGTTATTATTATAAACAACCTCGTAGTGTTTTGAAGCTCATGCATTGCTTAATAATTGTAAACAAAGCCGCCATGATTGAGAAAAGATGCAATGGTTTCTGAAGTGGTTGGGTAAATGTTTGATGAATCCTGGACCTGAATTCCTCAGGCACACGCACTACCAACTGGACCATGATGGTAGTGTGCCTGAGGAGGTCCAGGGATGTGGGTTCCATGCCACTGTACAGCTTTAATATTATTTCATAGGTATATCATGTAATTGTGACTTCATTGTGCGAGGTAATATAACCTTTTCAGTGCCCCGCTTCTGTTTCTGGTAATAAAGGTGATGATGCACTTTTCAATGTCATTTATGTTCCAGACAAAGAGAGGGAGTAGATTAAAAAAAATTAATTTGTCAATGTTTTTATCCCTGTAGCTGATTACAAAAGTTATAATCTATCCATTGTCCTTTCTATAGCTGATGAAAATGGTAATAATCTTTGCAGTGCCTCACCCGCATCGGAGGATAATGGCTATAACCTGTTCAATGTCCCTCCTGTATCTAATGACAAAAGTTATAAAATTTTGTTTCCCCTTCTTTTCTGATGACAGTGTTGATTACTGGTCCTATGTCCTCTCTAGAACTAATGACAATAACTTGGTTAAAGCTGATAATATGGTCAACGTTAATAATAATATTTGGTTAAGTTTATAAGCTGTTTGGTTGCTAATGTTTCCTGGTATTTATAAAAAAGCGCTTAACAGAACAAAAGTATGTAGGAAAAAGGCTTTTCCGTTGTTTGTAATGCAACATTGGACACCTTAGAGAAAAGTATCCGAGTATATCTTGTCGGTTATGATCAGTAGTTTGAAGGTTTAAAAAGGTTTACCTTCTATTGCTTTGACGTTGCTTGTACTCTTGTTTGAGGGGTTAGTCGTAATGAGATCTGCCCTCTCCTGCCTTGTTTAGGAGCTGTTAGTTTTAAATCATCTAGCCTGTCCTGTCCTCACCATCTAGCCTGAATTCATCATGCATTTATGAAACCCCTTGTGAAAGTTGTATATCTTTCCTAAATCATTGTGCCTTTGTTTACATTTAATAAACAGTTTATGAGCTCCGAAACACTAAGATTTTGTTTATATCAGTAATAGCCTTGAGTTGTTAAATTTCAAAGCTTAATAATAAATGCAAACAAAGCTTCTTATGAATAAGGAAAGACGCAAAGGTTTCATGAGTGGTTGCGTAAAAACTTGAAGGGTCCACTAGTAGCCAAGGTGACTTACCATTGGCCACATTTTGGTTAACGATTGTTGCGTATTTTTGGTGATATACCTGTGTCGGTGTGGCCTCCTGTACGCATGCAATCTTGAGTGACTAAATTACATTTCTGGACGTTCTAGATCCTGGAGACAAGTGACGGAGTGAGTCACGAGCCAGCACTCAAGCCTGACAGGTGGACATTACTCACCCTTAAGTCCCGTACTGGTGTTAGTGAGAAGATGGCAGCCTTCGATTTCTCCCTGCCTAACACTACTGACCACACGGGATGTTTTACAGGACAGTATATTGCAGTAAGTAAACTTTGATATACAGCACTCACTCTACAATACGTTGCAGTAAATCAACCTTAATTTTCAATTCTCTTGAAAATGTTGCAGCAAGTCAACTTTAATATATAATGCTCTTCAGTATGTTGCAATAAGTCAACCGTTACACAGCATTATGTTGCAGTAAATCTTAATACAACACTACGTTTTAATAAGTATAGTGTACTCTAATAAAAAAAGAATGTTGTAGTTATTAAATCTTGATATACAGTAACCGCTACCAAGCTTGCAACTGTCTCAAACTTATAACATTAACCACTTCTTAAAGACGTCATTGTCATTTGTTTTTAATACAAAAGAGATTACATAAGCAGATGACTTAAAATATTTGACTGGAATTAAAATATTCCTTTGAGCTTTTGGTTTGGTGTTGGGCTTAAGTCGTATCAACCTCGCGAGGGCTATATAGACCTCCATAATAGTTTACTGACCAATCAGCAAATATACTTTAGTCCTGAACATACTTAAGGACTAAAGTAAACTCAGAGTATACATTGCGAAGCAGCTAAGGTACCGCTCTGTGTTTATATCTGCTAGCGAACTATTAACGTTGTAATATGTATAGTTTAAAATTAAAATTGTAACTTACAATTGTATGTTATATATATATATATATATATATATATATATATATATATATATATATATATATATATATATATATATATATATATATATAAAGTTTGTGAGGGTACCACCTCTGGTGCCAATGTGGGGACCCATAGCCTCGGAGAAGAAAATAAAAAGTATTCAGAGGAGACCTTGTGGTTTCTCACTGAACAATAATATTATCTTCTCCTACCACCCCCATTCTTTTGTATGTACACATATATATTTACTTTATTTGAACTTTGTTACAAAAAAAGGAGTTACATATGGGTTACAAAGATGGTTATCATAGGTTGTCGAGTTCCTCCAGCTCCTCAGATGGCGGGCAGGAACCCTGGATGCAGTGCGCATTTCCCCTCTGTATCGCCACACTGAGGCGCTGGAAAAGAAAGCTTGCAGCTCTTGGGTCCCTTGTTGTTTCAATGAGCCTAGAACCCAGTTCCTTAAAAAAACTGGTAGCACTTTTACCCCAGGCGCCGAGTGTCTCAGAAGCAATGTATATATATATATATATATATATATATATATATATATATATATATATATATATATATATATATATATATATATATATATATATATATATATATATGTATATATATATATATATATATATATATATATTGGTGTATACTGGCAGCAGGTTTTCTTTCAAACATGTTTCATTGAATATGACCGCATATTCTGTATTTATTATTTTCTGGTTTAGGGCTTCTATCCCTCTAACTATTTTCTTAGCATCAGGGCTTAATTGGAATAGGAGTTCTCCAAAACTCATTTTCGTACTTTTAAGGTGAAGAAAAGAAGTGATTTACTATAGAGTGTATTACACTTATTTGTATAATTTGCACGACGTTTCGAACCTCCATGGTTCATTCTCAAGTGAACAGATCTTACAATACTAGTTGATTTTATACCCGCATTAGGTCAGGTGATAATACAATGAAGGTGAAAAACATGGGGGGATACATAAGGGATAAACATAGGGGCTGCAGAAGGCGTATTGGCCCATACGAGGCATCTCCTATCTAAACACAAAGATTAATCAAGTGTAATTGGCCTGTTATGTTGGCCATTGTCTTCTGTGTTGGCATCGATATGTTCTTGTCTTGTCCTTACTCTCATGGTGGGTAGAGTAAATAGTTCCGTGATTTGGGTGTGCATGGTAGGTCGCTCTATTCTAATGTGAATTGCCTCAAGAATTTGTAATCTTCTTGAATCTTGGGTTTTGTCTATTATGCAAGTATTCTTGTTCAACATTTCTCTTGTTAGAGTAATGTCATGGGCTTGTCTCATGTGATTCCTAGGGGCACCAGATTGAAGATGGCATGTCAAACGCCTCGTCAGCTTGGTCGACGTCATACCTATGTACTTACATTGAAGGTTACATCCTTCGTGGGGGCAAGTGTACATGTATACAACGCTTGACTGCTGTAGAGGGTTCTGTCGGAAAATCCGACACCATTTAATATATCATACAGATAATAGCTGTATTGTATAAACAAGTAACCCATAGAAAACGTAACTTGTAGTGGAATTACCATCTAAAGAAAACGGGATATCATCACCACATACCATTATAATTCACCAGCTATTCTGCTGGGAATTATTCTTAAATACATTAGTCTTTGGACTTTACCATCATAAAAACATCTTATATAAATTAACTTAATTATCAATATTAAAGTAGAGTAAATGTGACCCTTCTATCACTTTCTGAAATCTGGACAAAGTAGGCCAGGCGTCAGGGAGGAAGGAGGGAGCCATTGTTGTGTCACCTCCGAGACGTGTGGAGCAAATTCGGCTCCTATCATTCTGGACAATGTCGGCCAGTAACGTCAATAGTATGGAGTGTTAAACAGCCATTGTTTATACGAGACCAGAGGCACACGGGAGCAAATACGGCTCCTGTTAATTTTACTTGGACGTAGTGTTATGGAAACCAAAGGTACCATCTCCAACACGATGTCTACAATTCAAGTTAAGTCTATCCGAAACCCGTTTATCATTCATTTATGGCCATTAATGTCAGGATATAGGGTGACCCGGTTAGATCACGTGGAAGCCTCAAACTAAAGGTAATTAAGCCAGGTCTTCAATGTTCCATGTACAGTTTCTCTGAAATACTTGTCATATATAGGATTCTGGCTTCACAGCTAGCGCACTTTTGACAGGTCAAGACGAGGATGGAAGACTTTGTGCACCAGTTACTGGGTGAGGAAGCTACCTCAAAGAGGATAATTTGGTGTCTACACCCTAGTTATACCTGGTGGACTAACCTGCTGTACTATAAGATAAGGAACCTTTTCAATGTATGTAGTTAATACTGTAGTTTGATTGGCTGCATATATATATAAACTAATAAACCCCCCCTAATGTGTAGAGGATCGATTTGTGAGATTATTGCAGAAATACAGTCCACTTATCATTATACAAATTGCTATCGAAGTATATAAATTAACGTAAATATAAATTCATATAAATTAAATAAATATAAATCTCACAGGTCGGTTCCCACAGGTTCTCCGTCGGCTTCGGGCTGTTTTTGATAAGGAGTTCGGAAGTCTTCTTGGTTTTGTAGAATATTATCAGGTTTATGTTTTGGTTAGGAGTAGTGCTTTTTACTCCTTTACGGATAAACCTGATAATATTCTACAAAACCAAGAAGACTTCCGAACTCCTTATCAAAAACAGCCTGAAGCCGACGGAGAACCCTCTACAGCAGTCAAGCGTTGTATACATGTACACTTGCCCCCACGAAGGATGTAACCTTCAATGTAAGTACATAGGTATGACGTCGACCAAGCTGACGAGGCGTTTGACATGCCATCTTCAATCTGGTGCCCCTAGGAATCACATGAGACAAGCCCATGACATTACTCTAACAAGAGAAATGTTGAACAAGAATACTTGCATAATAGACAAAACCCAAGATTCAAGAAGATTACAAATTCTTGAGGCAATTCACATAAGAATAGAGCGACCTACCATGAACACCCAAATCACGGAACTATTTACTCTACCCACCATGAGAGTAAGGACAAGACAAGAACATATCGATGCCAACACAGAAGACAATGGCCAACATAACAGGCCAATTACACTGGATTAATCTTTGTGTTTAGATAGGAGATGCCTCGTATGGGCCAATACGCCTTCTGCAGCCCCTATGTTTATCCCTTATGTATCCCCCATGTTTTTCACCTTCATTGTATTATCACCTGACCTAATGCGGGTATAAAATCAACTAGTATTGTAAGATCTGTTCACTTGAGAATGAACCATGGAGGTTCGAAACGTCGTGCAAATTATACAAATAAGTGTAATACACTCTATAGTAAATCACTTCTTTTCTTCACCTTAAAAGTACGAAAATGAGTTTTGGAGAACTCCTATTCCAATTAAGCCCTGATGCTAAGAAAATAGTTAGAGGGATAGAAGCCCTAAACCAGAAAATAATAAATACAGAATATGCGGTCATATTCAATGAAATATATATATATATATATATATATATATATATATATATATATATATATATATATATATATATATATATATATATATATATATATATCGCCATTGAGGTAGTCCGAGGTAGGTAGTATATTGAGGTAGTCAATACGCCATTGAGGTAGCCCTCGAAGAAAAGCTGAACGACCTGAGGAGGATGAAGGGAAGAATAGGGGCTTTGGACGCCCACGATGCTTTGTACCTTCTCACAAGGTGCCTGGCTTTGCCCAGACTGACCTATTTAATAAGGTGTGCTCCCTCCTTCGACAGCCCAAAATTAACAGAATATGACACACTCCTAAGGTCAATAACTGTGAAAGTGTTAAACCTCTCCCTGCAATATGACCAATGGGACCAAGCAACGCTCCCAGTTAGACTCGGGGGTATAGGTATTCGCAAGGCGACACAGTTAGCATTGCCGGCATTCTTATCCTCGACCAGTGCAACAGGTGAATTAGTTAAGGAAATACTACCGGAACACCTAAGAGACTCCATTGGGATTCATGATCCCAAATTCGCGGAAGGAGCCGGTCAGTGGGACACTCTCGTCAACTCTCATCCTCGACCGACTTTTCCAAATGACTGCAAACAGTCCAAATGGGATAGCCCCATAGTGGAGAACATCGCCATATCATTCATAGAGGCAGCTTCCAGGAAGGACAGAGCGCGTCTCCTAGCTGTGCAAGCGCCCCATGCCTGGGACTTCCTGTTGGCAGTCCCTAATTCCGCCTTGGGCACCCGCCTGGACCATCGGACCCTAAGTATTGGTGTTGCTCTGCGCCTTGCCGCCCCTATCTCCACCGAGCACCGGTGTATTTGCGGCCATGCACGGGCAGACCAATACGGCAGCCATGGTCTCATCTGTCGTAAGACACAGGGAAAGATTGCCAGACATGAAGCAGTCAATGACATCATCAAGAGAAGTTTGGCTTCAGCTGGGTGCCCAGCACAAAGGGAACCTCAGTTGTGCAGGCCTGACAACAGCCAAAAACGCCCAGATGGAGTCACCCTGCAGCCGTGGAGGGAAGGTAAACAGGTCGTGTGGGACTACACGTGTGCATCCACATTGGCTGATACCTATCTACCTTACAGCGCAGCTGAGGGAGGCGGGGCGGCCACCTTCAGGGAGACCCAGAAAACTAACAAGTACAGGGACCTAGAACGTTGTTACAGATTCGTGCCAATAGGCTCTGAGACTCTGGGCGCCTGGAGTAAATGTGCACTTAAGTTCCTGAAGGAGCTGGGCGAGGAACTCATTGGGAAGACTAGAGACCCAAGAGCGGCCAGTTTTATGTTCCAGCGCTTCAGTGTCGCTGTTCAGAGGGGAAATGCGTGCTGTATCTTGGGTATGCACCCGACCCCCGAGGAACTGGACGAGGTCTTCGAACACTGATTGGTATATTGTTATATAAGTGTGTGTTTTCTGTAAACTGTAGCATTGCAATAAAATCAAATAAAACAAAATTAATAGGGGTGGTAGGAGAGAAAAAGATTAAAGTATTCAGTGAGAATCCACAAGGTCTTCTCTGAACACTATTTATTTTCTTCTTCGAGGTTGTGGGTCCCTTGAATTAAACCAGTGGTGGTATATATATATATATATATATATATATATATATATATATATATATATATATATATATATATATATATATATATATGTACAAGTCATAAACCTTTAATATTTTTACTACAGTATTTTGAATATATATATTTTATAACATTTTGCTACATCTGCATTTGTGCAGCTACCCTAGACTATATGAAGGGAAGTACAGTGTGTCAAAAAAACTAGCAACGAAGCTAAAAATCATCCTTAACACAGGATGGTTAGTCATACAAAGGCACATGATCAGTAGTCTGCACTGGGAAATTCTGGGTGCATTATGAGGATATCATGAACATAAGAGTGAATAAAGTCGCAGTGATACTGAAAGTCCCCATCTCGCAGGATGGTTAGTCATACAGGGCCATACGTTCAGTAGCCTGCACTGGTAAATTTTGGGTGTAATAAGAGGATATCATCAAGAACAGGACAAGGAATAATGTAATTGCAAAGCTCCAGGTACCTCATGCCAACGGGTCTGAATGGTCTGATAGCTGGGCATTCGGCGATGTAGTGTGGGAGAGTATGTCCCAATATTTACCCTCTCTTTTCATGAACATGTTACGTTGTTGATGCATTGAGATGACACGGAGAAATAAATACCTCATATCATCAAGTTCGATCTGTAGCAACTATTAACTGCCATACATCTTAGTGTGACTGTCTTTATCATAGGTTAAGGTCAACATCAATGGAAAAGAACATCTTCGCTACTTCTCTCCTGTGTCTTGTCCCAATGACTTCGGGCACATTGAGCTTGTGCTGAGGTTCGAGACGCAGGGGCTGGTATCCCGCCATTTCCAAGCCCTTAAGCCAGGTATGATTCCTGTTGATCCAGTTTTTATCTAATTCTTGTCAACGTAAAATATTTCCCTTGACCACAGTTACCATGTATATCGTAAATATTTTATGTTGATGTATGAGCTTTGCATATTTTATTTTCTAAGCTGAAGCCTAACAAATAAGCGTTTAGAAGCCAATGCCGCACAATATTATGTAACGTGTGTGTGTAATATTAATTTTAAAGCCATATCAAGCTAAACCCGACCATATTTAACCCTGATGACTACTTTTCAATGATAGAAGAGCTAGAAGATAATATGATTTTTTTTAGGAGACCAAGTGGAATTCCAAGGGCCATGTGGGGGGTTTGAATACCAGTCAAGTGAGTTGGACGAGTTGACAGTGTTGGCGTCTGGAGGCGGCGTCACCCCGGCCATGCAACTCATCCGCTGCATCATGAGGGACTCCACTGATAAAACCAACATTACACTTATATATTTCTCTGAAAACTATAATGAGATTCTCTATCGTGAAGAACTGGATCAGTATGCAGGTAAATGAGAGTTTTCATACATAAGAAATAACAAATCTTCGAGTTGGTATAGGCTTCGGCAGAATATATCAGTTAGTCACCTAAACCTTTAATAACATAGCCAATGTTATATAAATATAACAAAATTTATTAAGTTTTGTACATATAACTTTTTATCAGCAAAAGTAACACTGTTAATAAATTGTAGTTTCAGTTAAAGTGAAGTTAAAATTGCTTTAAATATATAACTGTATTTTTTTAAGGGAAATATAATCTGTTTCAATCCAAGTTATAACTTTTTTAATAAGAATACATATATAGGCTATATACTATACAGTAATTATATAGTATGTGAATATTCCAACCGAGTTTGATAACATTTTTATTTTTTTCAAACTTATTTTAAGCTTTAATACATCTACATTCTTTAGAAGAGACTGTCAACTACCTGCAATGTTGAAGCCTTATTTCTTGTTTCCAGATACCAAAAGCTTAACCACTTTCCAATACTTACTATAGTATCTCCTCATATACAATTTCTGACGGTATTTAACATGTTAACTGCCTTTTGTAGAGCAGAAACGTGTAATTTCCCTTTGATACCAACAGCCAGAGATGAGAGAGTGAAGCTGGTGTATACATTGGGTGAAGCCCCTGAGGACTGGGAGGGGGAGGAAGGCGTCATAGACACGCACATGATTGATAAGCATATCACCAAGCCTAATGGTATACGGCATAAGGTAACCGTATGACACTTCTGAAGAGTTTTTACGAATCATATTAACTTATTAACTGTTTTCCAAACATAGTGTCAAGTAATAATAATAAATAATGATAATGTCTTCTCACAGACATAATAACATAGGATAAAAGCCCACGCTTTTGTGTTTGAGAAATTTATGTAAGGAATTTACACCAAGTCTTTCGCACTCTCCTGAGTGCGTTGTCAAGGTCTGAGTGTGTAAATAAACATAAATATAATAAATTTTTATTCAGGTAAGGTACGTACATACAAGGTAAGATACAAAAGTTGATGGATTATAGATAGAGCTAGTACATACAATGCCTAAAGCCACTATTGCGCAAAGCGCTTCGGGCAGTGTGATTAGGACGAGACTTACATCTCGTTTGTGTCGCTCGGGTCTTGGTTGGTTCTGGAGTCTGTGTTGAGATCAGCCTCGTGGTCATCCTGGTGGTAGTCTCCGGAGTGGTAGTGGAGGCAGTAAGACTTGCATCCAGGGCTATGTTGGGGTCCAGGCCATTGGCTAGGTACAGAGCGTTGAGTTCCTTGACGAATCATTGATTGTCTGGTCTGGCAAGCCTCTCCGCTAGTCGAATAAGACCAAGGATAATGCCTGCACGTGACACAGGAGACTGTGAGGGTGTTGGTTGGTCCTTAGGTCCCCAATGTGGAGGCCAGGTGGCCTGTTGGGAGGAGCCCATGTTTGGTAGTGGCGGGAAGTCTTCTGGTAGGTTGGTGGGAGCTGAGCTGCTGGATTTGGTGCAGGTGGCTCCGGCGGCGGAAGTAGGTTTGGCTTTATTGGATTCAGCCTGGATCCTAATGATTTCCTGTCTGCGAGGGCAGCGGTGGGAAATTGCAGGGTGATCGCCACTACAGAGCAGGCATCAATGGGTTTTTGACTTGCATATGGTGTAATGATGGTCCTGGGTGCAAAGGCTGCACTTCTGAACAGGGTGCTGACACTTGTTGGTGGGATGGTAGTAATCGTAACACCGAAAGCACTGCTGGAGCTCGTGAAATCGTATCTTCTTCACACGGAAGGGTGGAATCTTGATGCCGAAGCAGTAGAGACCATGTGGCAGTCTGGTTAACCGCGGCTAAGGTGGTGAAGGATATCTTCAAGGTGGGGTGCGTGTCGTCGTCGTCGGTATCGTTACTGCAGAATATACCATAGAATACCCCCAGGTTCGGGTTTTCTTCATTGATATTGGTAATGATCTCCGTTTGTTCTCGGTCCGCGATCCAGCGGCTGGTCCCGCTGATAAAGACTGTTCGGTCGACGGTGTGCTGACGTGGGAAGAGAGGACAGAGATGGTGCACTTTGCGAAGTGTGCGATCGATTTTTTATATTTTTTTCGAGTTCCTCCACACAAGAAATAGAGCACAATACTCTTCCCTTCTTGACCAAGGTCGATGGGTGTAATGCCGGCGCCCAAGATGTCGCTTTTGGTGAAAGAGTAACCGTCCATGGGGCGAGTCCTAACTGTTAGGCGTTTGTGGCGCATTGTCGTTGTTAAAACCCCCGCGACGGGTCGCATTGGCGATGTATGTCTTGTGAAGTTACACGGGCTTCCTGGTGTAGACCGGGTGTGTGTGTGTGTGTGGCTGCTATCTTGTTGTTGTTGTTTAAGATTCAGCTACTGGGAACAGAAAGTTCCAAGTAGCACAGGCTATGGTGAGCCCCGTAGTGAACTTACCTGGCACAGGAGCGGGCTGTAACTGTAGTTGGGATGCTATCCGTTGTTGTTTTAGATTTAGCTACTCAGAACGAGATGCCCATGTAGCACGAGCTATGGTGAGCCCGTCAAGGCCAGGATGTTATCGACTGATTACGATTAAGCAACCCAAAAGGTGGCACGGGCATGAATAGCCCGTAAGTGGTGGCCCTTTTGAGCCATCACCAGTATCAATAGATGATACTGGAGATCTGTGGAGGTGCGACTGCACCCTGCGTGACGGGAGATGTCTGCCCCAGGATGCTATCCTGGGTCCAGTCCTCTTATCCTTCTTGACTCGACCATGTCACCTCTATTTCCGACTGCCGATGTACCTACGGTAATGTGTTTTACGGAATTATGGTCATGTGTCCTTTCTGTACTCCTGCTATTCTGGGAACTGGAGTTGTTATTATTAGAGGTGTTAATCTATATATTATACCTCGTAACCCTCTCCATACCTCTAGGAACGCGGCTAATGGGACTGCTTTCATTCATTTATTTATAGAGATCTAATTTTAATTCACTCAATCACATTTTCATAGTAAAGCTATCCTCCGAAGCAAAGTTTTTGTTGCCAACGAAAGTATTCAGAGTATTCACTAGAATTCTTTCCACTACCTATCTAGTTCTAATACTATTACTTTTATAGACCATTCCACACGTCTGAAAATCAATATTGTGATCCTTTTCCCAATTATGGTTTGCTATAGTACTGTTACCAGCCATTATTCTACGCTTTCATATGTTCCTCAATTCTGATCTCAAGTCTTGGTGTAAATTCCTTACAGAAATTTCACAAATATACAAATGTAGGATTTTATCCAATAATAATAATAATAATAATAATAATAATAATAATAATAATAATAATAATAATAATAATAGATACATGTTTGATATATGACATGGTGGAGCATTCGTAGATAATGTACAGTATATTCACTTAGTATAACACAAATATAATTAAGTAATTTATCTATAAGTTTCAATAGAATGTGTAGCCTGTGTTGCCTGGGATAGTCTGCCCCCCCCCCCCCGCCCCACATTCATTCCCTCTGCTCTTACTTTCCCCTCTTCCTCCTTTCTCACCATTCTCTCCTTCATCTTCCCCTCTCTCTCATCTACCCCTTCTCCCAACCCTCTCCCTCTCTTTCCTGCCCCTTCACTCCAAGTCATTTATTGTAGAGCTATGCTATATGGCCGTTGGCAATTGTTGCCAAGCTTTGCTGTATAATAATTGTAGTAATGGTCGTTGAAGTGAGGACTGTCACTGGTACTTGTTAATACATGTAATTCAGGGTCAATGATTGCATTCAAAATGATGATTACAGTAAGTCAGATAACGTCCTACTAAAATTAAAACACGAATATACTATTAAATGGTAACAATTTAATTAATTATTAAATAGATAAAAGAAAACAAGAAATAATTGCATACTGCACTATAAGGTATACCTTTGAAAACCAGCTCTATATAGCTACTAGGACAGAGATTAAGAGAATGGCATAGCTATTAGTATACAGCTGCTACCAGATGAGGATAGGTATGGGCTAGATGACATGGAGTTAGCATTGGTAAGGTAGCAGTGGGTACAGCTTTTTCTGACATCTCGCAGAAGGTGAGCAAGTTTGTGTGGTTTCCCTCATCGGTTATTTCATGTTTCCTGTGTTACATTTTCTCCCTTTTATTTTCCCAATTGTGACAAAGCATTGGTTAATCACGTCTTGGTTTAGCTTACGCACTTGATGCAGAAGGCACACAAGGACCTGTCTGTTCCTGGTTAGACATCCATTAACATAGACACCTTTTATTAGAGTCACTGCAGTTTAGACATGATTAGATTTTTTTGAATAATTATCGTTTTTGAGGTGATTTCTATTGTTATTTGAACCATTACGATTTACATTTACCTGAGTTTACCCGAGGGCCACTCTCTCTCTCTCACTCTCGACGAGGACAGGAAGCAGTTGGCCTGTCAAAAGTTCCCTGATGTCATCTAACTTGTATGCAGCTTTTAATGTTTGTTGGTAAATTTCATATTCTAGCTAGTCTTTTAGTAGTTTACACACGATGTAAACGTAAGTATTTCATGCAGATTTGCTAGTAAAGAAGCAGCATGATCCCAGCAATAGGCAAAAGGATTAAGGTAAATAAGCTTTCATGTCACTGAGTTACTGAAATCTCAAGTTAGCCGTTATAGCAGAGCCACAGTTTCTCTATATTGAACTCTCCCTCCCAGCCCCACCTCCCCATCTCTTTCTCTATGTGAGATTATTTATTGGGGGTTGAAACTAGTACAAATGTCGTCAGTCAGAAAGGACTGCAGAAGCCAGCACGTTAAATGCAAGATGTGAGATTATACTTTAAAACTTAAATAAATGGTGAGCGCAGCCGCCAGAGTCCAAATCCTTGGCACTCTTCATCCACAAGGTCGTGGAGCTCCTTAAATGCTGATGGCAATCATAAGGGTAGCTCAATGGGATCTCACACCAAATTTAATATTGGTGTGTGTGGCTATGAAACTGGTTCGAATCCAGCAGCTCCAGGAATTGCAAAGCACCGCTACAGTAATTGGCAGGGTAAAAAAACGGGGGACCAAATTATTGGAATTTGTTGATGCAAAGACACTTCTCACTTGGTAACAATTAACATTTATTCACAACTTAATACTAATACAAAGCACAACAATTTAACGTTACGTTAAAGTCCGTATTGGCACAATGCAAAACTATGCAGTCAGCAAGTATAGTCGAGTGACGTCAGTCCTGAGACGTCACGTGACTCCCGTGACGTCACAGCCTACCGGCGAAGTTTACACAAGAGGGAACCATTAGGCTTTCCCCCCAAAGTCCCTCTCGCTCCTCGTTCTGTTTCCAAGTAACTTAAGATTAAAACTATACTAATGGCTGTAATTCTTTTTAATAGAAAGGCTACGAAGGCCTCGGTTTTACTGAACAGCCAAGGGTGTCTGCGCCTCGTAGATGTCTAACAAAACAAGTCTAGCTCCCATTTTAAGAAAGCTAGAGTGCACTCAGCTCGGCGCACTCTTGTGCACTCCGACTGAAGTGAAATGGCGGTGTGCACTCTTTTATCAAAATCTGTAAACTAGCTGGAATGCCATTCTCTCACACTCTACATCAGTTAATATGCTTCTCCTGAACAGATTGTGATGTGTGGGGGTCCAAACATGAGCATCTCCTGCCTCCACTCCCTGCGGACGCTGGGCTTCCCGGCTGAGTACATCTTCATTTATGGCCAGTTTGGAACAGAGCAAGTGAAGGCAGTGTATGGGAGAAATGTTAAGCTCTCTAATCATCGATGTGATAATTCTGTCTAATATATGTCGCATGGCTTGGTATGAAGTAGCTAAAAGCAGTGTATGGCATAAAAGAAAAGATCTTCTCCCCATCTCTGTGTTAATGCTTCATCAGCGTAATACGGAAGCAGTCCACTGCGAAAATGAGTGATGTCAACCTGGCTTAGGATTTACAAGAATTAGCAAGAAATGTAATATCCTGAATATGATCAATTGCACGAGCCACGCATTCTGTATAAATATTTTTAATGTATAACTTAAAATATGACAATAAACAGATGTCTAAAAATTGGTAGGGACTGGGGTATAATTTGGTGGAATTGGTAGAAGATAAATAGAAATTAAGGTGATAATATTAATGAAGATAATAATAATTATCTGTTTAAATTATAAATACGAAAGGGCTTGGCTTCCATATTCTTCCAAGTGCTTCCACCTCTGGCTGGTAGACGGGAACCCTAAGTCTCGGAGGAAAGCACACATAACGCATTAGAGGGAATGTTCAGGTCCCCTCCAATACAGTTTCTGTGTGCTTTTCTCCTACCATGAGTCAGATGAGTTTTGCTGGGTTCCCAGATTGATTGATTGATGAAGATTGAGCCACCCAAGAGGTGGCACGGGCATGAATAGCCCGTAAGTGGTGGCCCTTTTGAGCCATTACCAGTATCAATAGATGATACTGGAGATCTGTGGAGGCGCAACTGCACCCTGCGTGACGGGAGATGTCTCCCGGACCAAATGGTGACCCCAGCCATATTGGTGTCTCTTTAAATGAGCGTGCGGACGCTGCCGCTAGGGAAGCTGTCCGCTCTTATACCATCTCCTTGTAAAGATATTCCTTATTCCGACTTTTACCCAGTTATTCATTCCTCCATCCTTACCCGTTTACAGGATTATTGGTCTTTTGTTACTGGTAACAAACTCCGTACTCTTAAGGGTAGTGTGTCCTCATGGCCGTCCTCCTACCACTGTAACAGGCGATGGGAAACGGCTCTGGCGAGGTTGCGTATTGGCCATATACGCTTAACTCATGGTCACTTAATGGAGCGTCGCCCTGCTCCTTATTGTCCAAATTGTATTGTCCCTCTTATGGTCATGCATATCCTTGTTCAATGTCCTGACTTCCAGGACGAGCGTGTGTCTTGCTTTCCGACCGCCCCTCGCGGTCGCTTGTCCCTCATTTAAATTCTTGGTGAATCGGATACTTTTGATATAGTTCGCCTTATGCGTTTCTGTTCTCGTATTGGCATCCTTGGTGATATTTAGCGCCCTCTGAATATTCCGCACAGTTGTTGGTGCTACATAGCCTTCCCGGTTTAATGTCTTCTTTTGATAATTACTTATTTTTCTCCTACCACCCGCTTCCTTTTGTATTTTGTTGTGCTTTATTAGATATTTAAAGGTTACAAGATATACATTGGTTGATACAATGAGTTCTTAAATGCTATGCATCTCTTGGAGCTCCTACTCTTCCTGACAGGAACCGAGGATGCAGCAGGCGTTTCCCCTCTGGATCGCCACACTGAGGCGCTGAAACAAAAAACTGGCAGTCTTTAGATCTCTGGTGATTTCAATGAGCCTGGAACCTAATTCTTTGAGAAATTCAAGGCACTCCTACCCCAGGAGGCCATGCATCTCAGACGCTCTGGGAACAAAGGTGTATTGACCTTCCAATCGCCTGTATTTGACTGCTTTTGCTATTTCTCTGTGGTTGGCCGCCCCACGTGCTTGATCAGCACCGAAGTGCATGTAGGTGTCAGCCAGGGTGGATACACATGTGTAGTCCCACCAATTGTTTACCCCTTTTCCAGGGGTATATAGTGATGCCGCCAGGGAAAAGTGCGGGGTCATCCAGGTTTTGGTCCCCTGGGATGCGAGGTTATCTCTTCGCTAGGCACTGAGCTGAGACAAGGCTCCTCTTGATGATGTGATTGACCTCGTTGTGTCTTGCATGCCAGCCCTTGGATCTTCCGCAGTACAACCCATGCAGTCCATATTGGTCTGCTTCCACCCAGTTGCAAATACACTTGTATTCAGATAATAATAATTATATTTGGTTTAAAAATACATAAATTTGATTTATGATATAGTGGAGAATTCATTGGTAAAACAATGTACATTACATCAAGTCACTAATACGCAGAGCGTTTCGTACATTACATAAAATTAAGTCTGTTTTCCAATTGTAGGTCCAATTGTCTGTTCTTAACATACTCATGTATCATATACAGGGGCACCTGTCACCCCAACTGTTTGGATTTATGCCTGGGCTCAGTACACAACACTGTTTTGCTGAGTACTTCGCACATATTGAAGCTTCCCCTCAAGCAGTCTTCATCGACCTAGCAGCAGCTTTTGATGCAGCAAACAGAGAAATCATACTGGAACAGCTTGCCGAGCTGGGAATACAAGGAAAATTACTGAAATGGATAAAGGGCTATTTGTCTAATCGAACAGCATATGTTTTGTTTAATGGTGTTAAAAGCACAGAGAGCAAATACTTTGAACTGGGAACTCCACAAGGAGGGGTCCTCAGCCCCTTGTTGTTCAACGTTCTGATGCATAAACTTATTAAAGATCTTCCAACTAATAATGATGACACTGTCATTTGTTATGCTGATGATATATGTTTACAGGCTGCCTCCGAGCCTAGAATGCAAGTTCTGCTCGATGCTTTTGCTACTAGAGCTGAGGAATGTGGCCTCCTTATCTCTGTACAGAAAACTCGTGCCCTCATTCCATGTGATATTCCACCAGCCAATTATCATATAGATGGGCGAGCACTTGAGAACTGCGAGTCTTACAGATACCTTGGTGTCCCCATTAACGACCCTGGGTACCTTTCTTCTCTCAAGAGGAGACTGTGGGAGAGATTAAAGCCCTTGCGGGTCCTTGTTGGTGTCAATCATGGAATCAACGTGAGACTTGCTAGAATGTTTTATGTATCATTTATACGCTCTGTGATTGACTACAATGCTCTACATCTCACATTGTATACTGACAAAGAGCTGAAATCTCTTGAAACCTTGCAAAATGAAGCTATGCGTCTCATCCTTGGGGCTCCAAAGTCCACGAGAATAGTTAATATGAGAGCAGAGTTAAAATTACCTACCATAAGTGAGAGAATTTTGTCTATTAGCACAGTTTTCGGCGTGAAGGCATTGAGTAGATCTAGAAAACACATGAAGTTTCAAGCTAAACTTTCTAATATGCTGCACTCACCTGAGGTCTATAGAAGAAGAACGAAATCTGATTATGTATTTTGGTTCTACAAGGTAGCCAACTCCATCAAAATATTAAATATGTACCCAACTCAATTAATGATTAATCAACCAATTACTCCATGGGATAACTGGGATCTATCAGTTGATTTTGTAAATGCGCCCAAGAAAGATAGTGTGCACTCTACATTATTAAAACAGTTAACACTGAAAAGCATCACTGAGAGTACTCAGAGTATGGGTAACGATGTGTATCAGTGCTATACCGATGGCTCTGTAGAAGAAGGTGGACGATGTACCGGATGTGCATACAATATATTTTAACAATCTTCTCTCGTACATACAGCAATGAAGCGCGTCAATGACTGGGCAAGTACAACTCAAACCGAACTTGCAGGCATATATCTTGCCACTGAATTTTTAAAAGACAAAGGCAGTGGACTTATATACTGTGACTCGCAGAGTGCACTCCTGGCATTGAACGCACATAGTAGTGACACCCAGAAAATAGTCAGTGATATTCGAATGAATGTTTTAGCTGTTAAAGAAAACAGATTTGAAATTAAATTCCTTTGGATTTATGGATTCATTCACATGTTGGCATCTCAAGGCATGACACTGTTGATATGCTTGCAAAGACAGCCTGCAGAAAACCAGTGGTAGAAATTGATACGGGTGTTTCATTAGCAGTGTCAAAGAGAATACTTTAACAAATATCTAATGAAGATCTCACACACCTAACAAATTCACAAAGACCGCAAAGTTGTAGCATTAAATATTATGATAGATATCGTGAGGAGACATTCACATATGGGACTAATAGAACAAGAACCCGGCAATGTGATGTTATAGTGGCCAGAATACGCCTGGGATATAGACGTATCTGGCAGCTTTCTCAAAACCCAAATGTCGAGTACATAATGTGTCAACTTTGTGAAAGAGAAAACATGCACTCTCTTGAACATTATATTGTAGAATGTCCCATATTGACTGACTTTCGCCCTCCTGGGCTAAGGTATGCTGAACTGTGTAATTACTATATGAGTACTGGAACACTTGATGATATATTGGACTTGTACCCAAGATTAACCATGTAATGTATCAATTATTTAATGTATGTATGTGATGTAACTATATAACCTGAGCTTGTAAAAGCACCTTCATCACCTTCAGTGATTAAGTGCTTAATTGCACACTAGTTTCTCTATCAGCTATCTCACTCTGTCAGAGTAAAAGAGACAAATGTATGTGAATGCATGTGTGTGTATATATACATGTATGTATACATGTATGTATATATGTATGTGTACATATGTGTGTGTGTGTGTGTGTGTGTATGTATATGTATGTGTATAAAGTATATATGGAAGCTGATCAGAATTACATTTCATCTTTGTAAATGCACATTAATGACACTATGTAAAAGACACATCGAACACTTTATGTAGGGCATACGTAAATCTGTGTATCTATGTATTTACGTATGTAGGTTAGCTTAGCATTTTAAAAGCACCGAATCACCTTCTGTGGTTGATTGTTCATTAACCCTTTGAACTATATGTTTAACATATCTCTAACCCTGTCCATGGAGGACAGAAGAAAATGTATATATGCTGGTTAGCATTGTAAATGTGTGGCCACGTTTGTGGTAGAAAATAATAAAAAAAAATAAAAAAAAAAAAAATTACATAAAATTTTAAAGGTAAATTATGTACGAGTTTAATAGATTAACACTTAACACTATATGAGAAGTAAACGAATATATTAAAATTGTTGAAAATATTTAGCAAGTTTCTAAATAAGGGATATTTAGACACTGCAGTTTTTAACAGAAGTACAAATATAGTATTTAATGCTCATAGTAACAGCAAAACACGGCTAGGTTGACATGTAGGATGAGGAAATGTGAGTCAAATTTTATTACATAATGTTAATTGGGTATTTCCTAGTTTCTTTTTTAAACTGTTTGAGAGAGGTAGTTTTTCATCTAATTTGGAAGGTCATTCCACAGTTTAGGACCCTTTATATGCAGACCAAGATAAATATTTATATTTAATATAAATTAAATATTTATATTATTATTATAATAATAATGGTTTTATTTAATAAGTATCACTCTTCCTTCTACTTGGTCTTGACGGTAGCCGGCCTCGGGTGAAAGAGGGTTGTAACGATCTCTGTCTGGAACCCGTAAGTGCGGGACCGGGACGTCCACCTCCTGGGGCTCGTGCGGCCCAGGCTCTGCTTCAGGAGGCTGGGGTCGTTCTTGCCCTTGATGGGGAGGTTCTTCTTCGGCCACGTCCACGGCTGTCTCCGGGGTTGGAGGTCCCTGTGCCCTTTTTCACCAACTTCGAGGTCAATCCCGCAACTCACAGTTCCT